CCCCCCCCCCCTCCCCTCACCCCCCATGCCTGTTTCTAGAAGGTGAAGAAGTACAAAGAGAGGGATCAGAGCTTTTCCGATTCTTCTCTGGTTATTAACTACCATTTGTCCGCTCAGAGGCCTGTCCCCCCCATTAACCCAACTGATGCTCTTTTCTCATGGAAATCAGCCTGCTGTCGCCGCTGCCCACAGAGGTGCAAGGCATTGTGGGGGATTTTCAGAGATTTTTCGGACCTCCCTGCGGCTCAAAAACAGCTCCCTCTCTCCCCCTCACAAACACACAAGCGCACACCAGGAGCTCACATGTACGCGCACACACACACCCTCTGACAAACAGGCGTGTGTGTGTGCCCGCTCTCACAAAGGCAAACATGAAACGTGCTGCCTGCGACCACACGGACCGGAGCACAAGTAAGAAACGCAGAGACGGTAATGAGAAGAAGCTGTTCCGAGCGGGGAGCAGACGAGGAATCATCAGGAGGTCATGGCTCAGAAGAACAACCTGAAACTCTTCACGACCAATCCCTGCACAGAAGTAACCTTTTTGAAGTGTTCAGCCCTCAGTGTTTATCTTCTGATGCTTGTGTGAACATCAGTCTCACTGTCAGGTCCGCTCGTCATACATACCTGTTTGTTACCACGGCAACAAACATAAAGTCTCCACACCTGATGTCAGAGTGACTAGCTGTGTGCAGCTCTCAGTCGGTGTGTTGGAAGCTTTGGTTCTCGTTTGTAACGTCTTAAACAGCGTGCTGACCTCAGACCCTCGCAGCGTCGCTCTCTCTCTCGTGTTTCAGTGAGCGAGCAGCAAACATCAACACATGGGTCGGGACTTGCAGAGCGGCTGGCACAAACAGAGGCTTTGTCTCGTGACCAACTCACTTCCATTTCCTTATTATGTAGCTGCAGGCTGTGATGGAACGAGCCACTGTCAGAGCTGCTGCTGGAGGGGAAAGCCACCGCTGTACGCAGCTCCCTCTGTGACACACACACACTCTACCTGCTGCCTGGTTAGTTACCTCTATAGATATCACTGTGTCTGTGCAGAGCCTGCACCTCATCCAGAGCACATCACAGAGCTGACACATACATTTATAAACCAATCAGCTGTTAAAGGGGACATAAAATAAACAAACATAAAATCCACTTCTACAGTGTTTTTGAACATATATTTAGGTAACCTGAGTGTCCACAAAATGTGAAATAAACCCATCCAGTCCTTTGTTTGTGGTCTGCAGCAACACAGAGAAAAATGCTCTGTTTCTAATGTGCTCTCCTTGTGATGTCACAGTGGGATTCTGGTTAAAAAAAAAATCCCCTCCCCTCCCCTGGTATCTCCACCCATTGACTTCACCCCCAGACTAGAACAAAACTTTTGAACAGGTCCGCTATTTTTATTCTCACTACAGAGGAGTGATATCTACTGGGAAAACTCGGGGGGGGGTGATTGCATTTAAAGAGACACACACACCAAAACAGAGCATTCTGAGAGAGCTGGTTTATACAGGGCCACAAACCTCCTCTGGTGCTTGATTCATGTTATATTTTGAGCAAAGCACAGCACAGATGTTTCATTTAGACCACAGGGGACTGTTTGAAAAGGTGGAGGAGGGGGAGAATATGTCCTCTTTAAATTCAACACATTAAACAAACATGGATCCACCTGAACACTTTTATAATGAAGAATAAACACCTGAACACTTTCCATCTTTTTCTGCAGACTTCAAACAAGTTCAACCTGCAGAAACACAATTCATCAGCTCATCGATAATTTAACTAACGACTGACGTGTAACGACCACGATGACACAAACATCAAAGAGAATCATGATGTAATCGGTCAGGACGTGACAGAGAGAGGGGAATGACAGGCTGGAAAGGAGGCACAGGTCAGATTTAAACCCTGGCTGCCCGCTTAGAGGAGGGCTAACCACTAGGCTACCAGCGACCCAGAACAAAGTTTAGGGCTAAAACACAAATTCAGAGTTTCTTTAAAGTCCACATAAAACCAGAATATTCCACTTCAGACCATATCCATACCTGTTGGTTAAGTCTGTGTGTAGTCTGAGTGTACTTTGTGTGTAGTCTGTGTGTAGTTTGTGTAGTCTGAGTGTACTTTGAGTGTAGTCTGTGTGTACTTTGTGTGTAGTCTGAGTGTACTTTGTGTGTAGTCTGTGTGTAGTTTGTGTAGTCTGAGTGTACTTTGTGTGTAGTCTGAGTGTAGTATGTGTATACTTTGTGTGTAGTCTGAGTGTAGTTTGTGTAGTCTGAGTTCACTCTGAGTGTAATCTGTGTGTAGTCTGAGTGTACTTTGTGTGTAGTCTGTGTGTAGTTTGTGTAGTCTGAGTGTACTTTGTGTGTAGTCTGAGTGTAGTATGTGTATACTTTGTGTGTAGTCTGAGTGTAGTTTGTGTAGTCTGAGTTCACTCTGAGTGTAATCTGTGTGTAGTCTGAGTGTACTTTGTGTGTAGTCTGTGTGTAGTTTGTTTAGTCTGAGTGTACTTTGTGTGTAGTCTGAGTGTAGTCTGTTTAGTCTGAGTGTACTTTGTGTGTAGTCTGAGTGTAGTCTGAGTGTACTTTGTGTGTAGTCTGTGTGTACTTTGTGTGTAGTCTGAGTGTACTTTGTGTGTAGTCTGAGTGTAGACTGAGTGTACTTTGTGTGTAGTCTGAGTGTAGTCTGAGTACTTTGTGTGTAGTCTGAGTGTAGTCTGTGTGTACTTTGTATGTAGTCTGAGTGTGGTCTATGTGTAGTCTGAGTGTACTTTGTGTGTAGTTTGTGTAGTCTGGGTGTACTTTGTGTGTAGTTTGAGTGTAGTCTGTGTGTACTGTATGTAGTCTGAGTGTAGTATGTGTATACTTTGTGTGTAGTCTGAGTGTAGTTTGTGTAGTCTGAGTTCACTCTGAGTGTAATCTGTGTGTAGTCTGAGTGTACTTTGTGTGTAGTCTGTGTGTAGTTTGTTTAGTCTGAGTGTACTTTGTGTGTAGTCTGAGTGTAGTCTGTTTAGGCTGAGTGTACTTTGTGTGTAGTCTGAGTCTAGTCTGTGTGTACTTTGTGTGTAGTCTGAGTGTACTTTGTGTGTAGTCTGAGTGTAGACTGAGTGTACTTTGTGTGTAGTCTGAATGTAGTCTGTGTGTACTTTGTGTGTAGTCTGAGTACTTTGTGTGTAGTGTGAGTGTAGTCTGTGTGTACTTTGTGTGTAGTCTGTGTGTATTCTGAGTGTACTTTGTGTGTAGTTTGAGTGTAATCTGTGTGTAGTGTAATCTGTGTGTAGTATGTGTGTAGTCTGTGTGTAATCTGTGTGTAATCTGTGTGTAGTCTGTGTGTAGATTGTGTGTAGTCTGAGTCTATTCTAAGTGTAGTCTGTGTGTAGTCTGTGTGTACTTTGTGTAGTCTGTGTGTACTTTGTGTAGTCTATGCGTAGTCTGGGTTTAGTCTATGTGTAGTCTGTGTACTTTGTGTGTAGTTTGTGTAGTCTGTGTGTAGTCTGAGTGTAGTCTGAGTGTAGTCTTTGTGTACTTTGTGTGTAGTCTGGATGTAATCTGTGTGTAGTCTGTGTGTAGTCTGAGTGTAGTCTGAGTGTACTTTGTGTGTAGTCTGAGTGTATTCTAAGTGTAGTCTGTGTGTAGTCTGTGTGTACTTTGTGTAGTCTGTGTGTATTCTAAGCATAGTCTGTGTGTACTTTGTGTGTACTTTGTGTAGTCTGGGTGTACTTTGTGTGTAGTTTGTGTAGTCTGAGTGTAGTCTGAGTGTAGTCTGAGTGTAGTCTGAGTGTACTTTGTGTGTAGTCCGAGTGTATTCTAAGTGTAGTCTGTGTGTAGTCTGTGTCTACTTTGTGTGTATTCTAAGCATAGTCTGTGTGTACTTTGTGTAGTCTGGGTGTACTTTGTGTGTAGTCTGTGTGTACTTTGAGTGTAGTCTGTGTGTACTTTGTGTGTAGTCTGAGTGTATTCTGTGTGTACTTTGTGTAGTCTGTGTGTATTGTGTGTAGTTTGTGTGTAGTCTGTGTGTACTTTGTGTAGTCTGAGTGTACTTTGTGTGTAGTCTGTGTGTAGTCTGAGTGTAGTCTGTGTACTTTGTGTAGTATGTGTGTAGTCTGTGTGTAGTCCGTGTGTAGTCTGTATGTAGTTTGTGTGTAGTCTGTGTGTAGTCTGAGTATAGTCTGTGTGTAGTCTGTGTGTAGTTTGTGTGTAGTCCGTGTGTAGTCTGTATGTAGTTTGTGTGTAGTCTGTGTGTAGTCTGAGTATAGTCTGTGTGTAGTCTGTGTGTAGTTTGTGTGTAGTTTGCGTGTAGTTTGTGCGTTGTAGTCTGTGTGTAGTCTGTGTGTAGTTTTGTGTAGTCTGAGTCTAGTTTGTGTGAAGTGTGTGGTTAAAGTGTGCAGCAGAGATCAATAACAAGTGCACAAACTGCACCCCCACTCTCTGACCCCGACCCCCCCCCTCTCTGCTGGGGTTCTGGTTGTTATTTACGCGCTTCCAAGGAACGCGCGCGCACACACACACACACACACACACGCGCGCGCGCGCGCATACACACACTGAATTACTGAAAGTCACACACACACACATGACATGAGGCTGCAGATAACCAGAGTACGAGCCAAAACAAAACAAACAGAAAAAAACTGTAAACATAAAAACACACTTTATCCTCGTGCACACATTCACACACACACACTCACAAAACAAAAGTCACCGGATCAAGAGTTGCAGACAACATGAAAGTTGGCCAACGAGGGCCCTGCGGACACCGAGCAGCGGGTTGCCCAACTCGGCAGAGCCACTTTTTATCGAGCAAAGCGTCGCGAGGGAGGAGGCGATGCGTGAGTAAAGATTAAAGATCCGTCCACGCTGCCGCACAAACACGCACAATTACGCAAAATTTGAGGGACAGTACCGACACGTTGATAACAAGTGTCACCGCGCGAACACACACACACATGAGGACGTGCAGCCACATTGTGGGCTCAGAGCGAGAGAGAAAAAAATGAGCCATTTACCCACCGAAAAGTTTCCAGCCCCGCATTAGTCCGCTTCACATGGAGTCCCGGTCCGCTTCCATCCCGGACCGGACCACTTTCCCGCCGCGGCACACCCCGGCCGCCGCCTCGCGCCGCTTCTCACCTCGATCGGTGCGTTTCGGATTTTTCCAGATTTTTTTCTCTAATTGTTGTGTTTTCGGGCCTGAGAGCGTCTGGCTCCCCTCAGGCTGCA